ATTGGGACCTACATACACTTTATCTTTAAAATCTCCTGTGTATTAATATTGCTAAAGCATTTAACAAACAGCCAACCAATGAAGATGAAAAGACTCATGAAAACTTGAACGTATGAAACACAAAGTTCATTCGTGACAAGAACGCAACCTCCAAGGAAGAAATGACATTGCCATCATGGCATTCTTTCGAGCATCAATAATTTGTCCATGTGGTTACAAATTTTTTGATTTAGAGGATTGGGATCCGCAACTGTAAAGTTACTGACCTCAATGATTTGCTTAATTAGAGAGCGAAAGAGGGATTTGAGTGTCGCATACTCCATTTGTATTTCAAAGTTGGGCGGGTATATTGATAATGGAAATTGTTTCATGCGGCGGGGACCGCATTTCTACATTTGTGGTCCTTAGAGGTATAAAACATTATTTTAAAGATAGATACAAATAGGTGGTCCATCTAAAAATAATTGAAAATAATAGTTCAAATGTTTTATTAATAGAATTATTATTTTTAATTTTCAAATTTTATTTATATTTCATATTCATGATCCCCATGTTAGAGGTTACATGTCTTTCAAAATTAAGTCCAAAAATCCATTTGAAAAATAGATTTTTAAGAGGTGACTCATTTCTACATGGACCCATAGAAACCAAGTCAATTTGTGAAAGAGTTAATTTTGGTATTAAAAATTTTCACGAATCTATTTTCACCTCTAATAATAAAACGTTAAATTTAAAAAATAATATAGATTGAGCAAACCTACAAGTCTTGAAAATCTAAAAAATAGACATTCTAAATAATATATTACAATACACTATTTTTTAAAATAATATATTACAAGATGCACTATTTTTAAGATTCGAAGTTCTTTTTTCCATAATAAATGTATACAATAATTCACCATATTAAATTTATACAATGAGACTATTTACTTTTGATACAAGAAAATTACAATCATTATTGACCGTTACATTTGAAATCAGGCAGTTTAGAATGTATCAATATTTAGGCACAAAGTCCAAAACAATATTTTCCGAATGTTGTGAGACACTTTCATCTATTAGATTTCACATCCAATGACGAAAAGTGAATGTGACTTCCTTGTACCAAAAAATAAATGGTCTCATAGAATATAATATCCTTTTAATATTCATACACCTTGATGTCAAGATAATCAATTAGAAATTGTTTTAGAGTACGAACAATTTTTTCGGATATGAACCTTACTTTAAATTTAATATAAACTTTTTTCCTTCAAAATTTGAACATACTATGTATATTTTCTTTTCTTTAATGCATCGTGAGTCCGAAGTAACCTTGCCGAGCACTCGTAGATTACCCTTACAATTTGGCAAAGTTATCCTACTCAATATTGTTTGAAGTTTGTCCACACAAAATCACTAACCTCTGGTATATTTTGTCTTGAGAGGAGTATAACTTTTCCACCATTTACTTGATACTATATATAATAGAAAGAGTATACAATCAGACCATTTACATTTGGTACAATATAGTCACAATCCATAATCTCCTCAACATAAATGTGGAGGACACTCCAACATGTCGGATTTAAAATTAGATGGCTAAGATGTTTAAGTTAGCATGCAATTCGAAGAAAATTTTCCCTAACTTTTAAGGCAGTCGATGGTAGACCCCCAGCAGCTCTATATTTCATGTCAGATTTAAAATTAGATGGCTAGGATGTTTAAGTTGGCATGTAATTCGAAGAAATTTTTTTCGAACTTTTAAGGCAGTCGATGGTAGACCCCCATCAGCTCTATATTTCATTTATGATTGTGAGATTTTGTAGGAAGAGATATGTATCCTTATCGTATTCTAGGCTTCCATATATTCATCCAAATGAAGCTATTGCTCTATAGTTTTGTGTTATCATTCTTCTTTGCAAATAACAACCTGCCTTTACCAAAAAATAGTTAGCAATTGAAAGTATATGCAAATGTGACTCTATTATAACAAATGAGTATATCAATTCTTATCCCAACATTTCTCTCCTCATTCCCTATATTAGTCTTAAAGGAAGAAGTGTCTATTTGCTATGTCTTCGTTTGAAAGTGGAGTTCTCTTCTCTCTCTACTGACAGTGAGCTCATCTTTTGCTACTGCTTTTCTCAAATCTAATGGTTGTTTTCATTCATTTAATGATTATTCCTTTTGTACTGCCAAAAAGGTTGATACTTAATGGATTACAACTGTAATTTAAATTCGTGCTATTGCTTGCTCTAGTTTCATCGATAATTAAAATGTATTCCTAATCGTTAATTTTAAATATTATCAACTCATATTAATCATAAAAGGAACCTGATAACATTATTGGTAATTTGTATCGGACGGACTATGAACCACATTTGCAATGGCTTTACTCAAAGAGGTTTAGCAAGGGTGTCATTCAATAGGCCTGGTGTTCCATATTAGTAATGTCATGTACCTCCCATCTCTCTCTCTTCATTATAAACATAAAGATCATGATCGGCAAATATTTATAATAATAATGAAATTATTTATATATAGTATAAAGATGTCATAATCACTGATAACCTTCCGATGTAAAATCTGATAGCTCTGATGTCATCAAGTTAAAAAAAATTTATATTCAACTTTGAGTTTGGTTAATGAAATAAATGTAGCTATCCAATTTCACATCTTATATTCACCATTCTATTAATTGCTATCATGTACTAAAGATAAATGCTGTCGATACATATTTTTTCATATCTAAATACCTTGTATTATTTTCACGAGATGAACTTTAAACTAGCACGGCTTCCCATGAAAAAATTCAAAATCAACTTTGTTAACACGCGGCAAAAAAGAGTCAGTGTGTTGGAAGTGAACGGTCTCTCATCCCATCCATTCGTGAGAAAGGACGGTCGAAGGACTGCTTGTGTTCCATATGTTACTGATGCAATATGCATATTCTTTTACTGTCGCACATGCAACGTGTTTAAAAATTATTTCTTGAATAAAAAATAATACTTAGCTGTTAATAATGGTAGATATTTCTATAGGGTTTATGAAAATAAAGTAAAGTATCACTTCAAATCTTCATCTGGAAAGCACTTTTGACATCGGACATCTTACATCTTCATCACGGCTCTAAAATTAATTTTTAATACCAACAATAAAATTAGACACTAAAAAAATGTATAAATCTTGCAAATATGTGAACACTTATTTTTAGAGTGAAATAAATGGTTTAAATGATATGTTACAATACACATTATTTTTAGAATATGAAATCCGATTCTTTTTGCACAACTGTAATGTTCATGCTGATATAATAGATTTAAAGGTTTTTCAAATACATGAATTGCAATTTCTTTGATGAGTTATAAAGGGAGAATTTACTTATTCTGATAGGGCTGCAGCCCATCGGGATGGCCAATGACGTATATAACGGGAAGTTTAACGCTTTTAAACCTTGCCAAAAAAAATGTAGCCTGGTGATAGAAATTCACGTAGTAGCCCTAAATTTTAAGCAAGCAAAGTCATATTGATTGAGGAAATCTATAAATATTTTAAAATCTGGAAAATAGATAGTCAAGATGATGTGGTGCTATTTATCAAATAAATAGTTAATTTTTTTTTGTAATTATAACTTTGTAGAGTGTTGTATATCACCAGTATTCTGAAAAGGATACAGTTTTTATAAGGTCTCGATTTTATGAAACAAAAATCCTCAGTTTGGAATCTTGTCCAAAAAATATTTCGGGTAAGGAAAATCCCTAAGCTGGCTGCAAAATCTGTATCTACCACTGATTATGAAATTGAAGATATTCATAAATATTTGAAATGGATAGCCTTGATAATGTGTTATAATATATGCTATTTTAAAATCTTAAAATCCAATTTTTTTTTTTTAGTAGGATTTGTGTAATGTTGAGGCCCTAAATAGTCAAAGTAAGGCGTTCCTTCAAATAGAGTCGAAAGATGTCATTTTAGATCTAAAAATCTTTATCATCGCCTGAAAATTTATTTTCATATCTAGTTATAAAATTTATAGGTAAAAAATAGTGTAGAACAAGCATATCTATGAATGCCTGAAAATCTTGAAAATTGATGCTCTAGATAATATATACAATATGCATTATTTCCAAGATTTATAGAGATTTTTTTTTTTTTTTTAAGATTGTCTACAGAGTGATCAATTATCTTTTGTACATGAAGGTCACAATTATTCACACTCATTACATGTCAAACTGGATGGGATGGGATAATTCATGAAGTCCTAAAAATATTTTTTAAAAACTTTGTATCTATTCAATATCACTCTTACAACTACCCATTTTGATATTTAAGGAACAATAATGATTGTAACCTACATGTACAAAAGATAAATTGTCTCTTTCTAAACAATTTTTTTTTATATCCATATATCTAAAGTTTAAGATGATTGAATTTAAAGGTATTTGGGCTTCGAAACTACTTCTTTTGATGAATTTGTAGGTGCACCTTAGTTTGATTGTTTAGGGCCTCAACTTTATATAAAATTTTCATAACAATCAATCAGAGGTTTTTCAATGCTGGAAGTATAATTTTTGATCAATTTTGAGGTGAGGCTCTACCTTTTTTTTTTTTTTTCAGCTTCATTTTAACCCTCATGAAAAATCACGGATCGTAGTTATATGTTTAAGCTACAACGGTTGTGTGTGGTACACATTCTTCAAATTAGAAACCCCATCTCATAATGAGAGAGAGGCGTGTGGGTTGAAGAAATTGGGATTGGAAAGGGCCTCCAATAGCCTGAACGCAAATTGATCGTCCCATCAAAAGCACCAACCCAAAAGTATTTGACTCGACACAACACAACCGCTTCTATCCCAACTCATTAAAACACCAATTTTACAGAGAGAGAGAAAGAAGAGAGAGATGGTGGGACATGCTCTGACTTCCACTATCACTCAAAAAATTATTAAAAAAATCCGAAGGAAAAGAGAGTGGTCACCTCAAAAAAAAAATACACACGCGCTCATAACACAAACACAAGCGCCAAATCCCCAAAACATTTATTTATTCCCCTCTCTTTTCTTCCAAAATAAAACAAAGGTGGTGGCAGTGCCATCTTTAGTAGGAGGAGAGAAGATAAAAGAGATGTCCCTCTCTTTCTCTCACTAAAATTCCCCTAAATAAATAGAACTGCCCACTTTCTCTCTCTACACTCCAATCCCTGATAAATTAGCACATGTTCCAACAAATAAATTTCCCTATAAATACACATATACATTGAATATTACAATTGCTATATATAAGTTATAGGAAATATTCTCTTCCAAAGGTCCTTGCTCCAGCCGTGGCCTCCCTGCATCATTTGGCCTGTAAACTGGCCCAGCATGCCCTGTCCATGAACTGTCCACTTCTCTTTTTGCTTTTTCTCCAAGAATACATTCATATCTATATCTATTTATATATAACTACATGCCTCCTTAATCTTATGACCAAATTGTCCTTCCCCTCAAAACCCTAGCTCCCCACTAACTACTGAGCTTTTCTTCTCTGTCTCTCTATCTGTAGGTTCCACCAAAAGTGGGGGTCCAATAGTCAACTGCGGTTTCACTAGTAACTGGATACGTGCTTGAGATGGGGACCAAACACAGGCCTCTACTCCTTAGATCTTGTTTTGGGCCTTCTGTGTCCTTCGATTTATCTGCGCTCTGTGTGTAATTTACTTGAATGAGTTAGAAACAGGAAGGTCAACAGAAAATTCATCGTAATCAATTTGACTGTCATAAAAAATGAATGATGAATCAAGTATGAAACATAGACCTATTTTATTTCTTTCAAAACAGTCACACAGTATGGGTGATATTTTTTTTCGAAAGTATTTTCACATAAAAGAACTCTCCTATGTCAGTTTATAACATCAGTAGGCTGCCTGTTGGTACGAAAGAAATGAATTGGGACCGATTAGTGTGAATAAAATCCTACCCCTGATCACATGCGGGAGTTCTTTCATGAGAGAACTGACAATTTTTTCACACCTACCAAATGTGCCCTAATGGTACATGCGGTGTGGTATATGGTATGCCGTACACCATGTGGACATCTGCTAGTCCCTACTGATGACGGGCGATCGATGAAGGTTGACCATTCCCGGGAGAGTGTTCATGATAGTGAACTCTGGTTAAATTCCATCTAGAGAATGTAAGGTGGATGTGCCCATGGTGTACCTTAAACCACGTTATATAGTTTATGATTCCATTTCCAAATATTTTAGGTTATGGTGGAGCTATGTTTAGTTGCAATTTATTAGGTTTTTATAGCAGTAATTTGTCATGTTTTTATAAGAATTGGATGGACTTGGGTATTCTACTCACCTGGTGGTGCTGTAAAGGCGCCCCATTTTTCATGTATGGAGTACTCAGCGTCTGAAATGACATAACAGAGAATAATAAGAAATTACTGATTTTTTGCTTTCTTTTTCACTTATTGTGTATATTTTAAGCAACCATGATATAGGGTAAGAGAAACTTACATTAACTTGCTCGTGTAAGAACTTGATATACTGGATGGCTTCATAAAGAACGGATGCAGTATCAGTCTGAAATGAGTAATCCACATCATAAGCTTTATGAACAGGATAAAGGTTTTCCACTTTCTCCTTTTCCTTTTCTCCTCTAATATTATAGAATCAATGAAATCACTGCAAATTTTACCTTTCCGAAAGGTGAAACTATTTGCTGTAGTGCCGTGATCCTGTCCCCTAACTTCTCTTTCCTAACCTGAAGAAAATGAGGGAAAGCAAAAAAGAAATAAAGCTAGGGTTCATAGTATCAGTGGTACAAGGTCTTATCAATTCCCTGGTATAACCAAATCTCAATTCAGTACCTTAAAAGTTGGTAATGGCGATGGTGTCTCCAGTCGAGGCCGTTTAAAGCTCGGCTCGCTTGCACTCTTTTTCAAGTCAGCCAAAGAATCATGAGCTTCATCTATATTCGTCTGTGAAAATATTGACACATTCAGATGCAAACCAAAAAAAATAAATTAAACACCCTTTTGTTCTCTTTTCCTTGGGCCTTCTAATTTTTTGCGAGATGGATTATGTTTCAACTTTCTTACCTTGGCTGTGATGTTACTGATAAGGGGTTTCTCCTCAATTGTCTGAGACATGAACTGCTGGTTTGAAGGTGCATATAAACCAGGCCTTATACTGTTCGCCATAGGCGAAGCATTCCAAAAAGGGGTGTTGTTTGAAAACAGCAACTGATTACTTTGTTGCTGTTGTTGCTCCTTTGGAGGAGAAGAAGACTTGAGAAAATCAGGAAATTTAGACCAAGAACTCGTCCCAAATTCATCTGTCGTAATTTGGGACACACCCATTCTATAATTCGAAGAAGGAGAATTTAACAATCGATTTCCTTGAAAACCCACCAATGGTTCTTGTTCATATAATCCTTGCAATAAAGACGATGGAGAAGCATAGGGCAAAGAACCCGGGTTGTAATTGCTAGTTGTTAAGCTCCGACCTGTTACTGTACAATCGCCGGAGCTATTGCCTGAATTTAGCCGATTTTCAAAACTGAAAGTCTGGTTCATGTGCTTGAGGGAGTCTTCATTTACTAAAAAGTTTTTGGGGCACCATTCCTTTTGGAAATGGCCTGAATCAGGTGTTGGGTCTTGTCTAAAGTTGGAGCGAGAGTTTAATAGGTCTTCTTCAGGTAACATGGCTTGTAAACTGTTATCTGGTCTTCCACTGCCTCGTCTGCTCAATAATATAAACTATCTTGTTATAAAAGAAATTACACATGAATTGTAAGGGAAAAAGTAATGAATTGCATGATTGGAATTTACAGAAATGATGGGGTATTAGATATCTTTTTCTTTGAGATTATCTGTCATACTGCAAAGCATGATATCAGTTAAAATTTATGGAAGAATTTGTGTTCCTGGATAAAATTCATGAGGTTCATTATTTATGATAAGTAAAACTCAATGAAAACTCTCGAGAGATTTTTTTTTTTTTTTTTTTTACGCTATTCTATATATTTACATCTGGATAAATTAGTTTTTGAGTGACAGCTCTAGGAAATTGAGGCAGGCGGCAGCCATAGAGCGTTTATGAACTCGTATTTCGCTTAATTATGATCGTTTCCAAAGTACTCAAGTCGAAAGTTTAACTTCAATTGTTCCAACTTATAGGATCACTTCCAAACCAGTCATCGATTTTTTAAGAAACGAAAACTCCATTTTTTTCCCCAACTTCACACGAAAAAAGAAAAAAAATCGGTATCGATCCACTCTTCCCTCAGTTCCGTCAAAAGCATCGAGGAAGTTCCTGTAGAACTCTTCATTACCATTTCTATTTCATCACAAATTACCTGTTTTACCACAATTTTACTGTTGCATAGAATCCCTTGAGACTCAATAAATTTTAAACCTATTCACAGAAACATATAGTTTGTATGAAGGTTTACTGTTAAGGTAAAATTATCTATACTCACAGAAGAGCATGGCTCCAATCAGTTGAGGAGAGGGCAAACTGAACGCCAGTATCCATCATAACCATGCCTGAATCCTGCACCGAGCTGCTCGAAACAGAAGCTGCCGTGTGATCATCTCCGACTGTGGTTTCCGAGGGGGATCTCCCCTTGACTTCCCCAGTCTCAGAAGACCACCCACCCAGATTCCCCATATCCGTCAACGCACTCGAGCATGCCGAGACGCTCCTGGCGTTGCTCCACCAGTTGCCACTGCAAATCCCGTTTTGCAACTCCTCTGCCATGTCCACCCAATATCTCTTTCTTGTGGATCTAATTCTCTCTGTAAGGCCCTCACAGTCGCTCTGTCGCTTTCTGCTCGGGCGGTTTCTCTCTCGACCTTTCTCTGGGACAAATTAAATCCGATTTTCCCCCTCCCTTCTTCCGGGTCCTGTTTCTCTGTACTGTTTTTTTTTTGAGTTTCTCTCTCAAACCTCAGGCACCTGTCTGTGAGTTGAAATGATCGGGGGTATCAAACCCCTATATAACCTTGCCTTCGATGTATGGAGGGGTATAATAGTAATTTGAGGAGCTGACCATGGTTAGTGACTGCAACTAACCGCCGGATTCCGGTTGACATTCAGGCCTTTGTGATTTTTTTTTTTTTTGAGAGAATTTCAAAAGAGGAGAATTCTACTTTTTTTTTTTTTTTTTGGTGAAGGAATTAATGAGTTCATAAGTAATGGAAATTTTTAAAATAAAATATTTGAAAAGAAGGGAACTTTCCGCTTCTTTTGTTGGAGGAACTTCGGTAGTGCCACGTCATCATCACCGAAGGGTGTAAATGTCGCGGCTTTTGGGATTAATGGAAGGAGGTATTGTAAATTCTGACTCCTGACCCACTGAATAATGGGGAGGAGCATCATAGCAAACATGGAAAACGCTGCCTTTTTTTTTTTTTCGTTTGTTTGTTTCCTGAAATGGCGAATTTGCCCTTAAGGTCTTTCCCGAGTTCCTCTTCATGTTTCTCTTTTAAATAACCCTCTCTATCCCTCCCAAAATACCTCATTTCTCTAATGTCTTTCTCTTTCTATCTCATCTTTCTCTAACCGGTCTCTCTAACTGTATGTCCTTTCTCTCTCTATATGTGTCATTTCTCTCTCGAAATCCCTCCCTCCAACTGTGTCTTTATTCTCTTTTAACTTTTTTTCGTTCTCTAAATGTGGCATTTCTCCGTCTATCTTCTCGAACTTTAACCATGTACATTTCTCTATTGAAGTGCTTTCTTCCCACGCCCTCTTTCTCTCTCTTCTATGTCCCTCTCGATGGAGCCGTGAAGCCAGATTTCGGCGAAGCTTTGTCATATAACTATAAAGTTGAATTTTTGTATTTGAGAACCTCCAGATAGCCTTCTAGATAAGTTATCAAACAAGCATTTTGGAACTTCTAGATGTTTACAATTACAATTTCCAGGGACTTAGAACTTCCAGATTTCCAAGGCATATATAGTTTCTGAGTTATGAAACGTGGACTTAATATTGTGATTTTTATAGGTCTTTACCTTCTAACACAAGCTCATGGAGACTGTGGTATTTTTTTTCTTTTTCTTTTTATTTTTTTGTTGGAATATTAAACTTAACGTGAGTGAAGTTACTACAAGATTGGGCATCATTCCCAAGAAAACTGTATAGCATTCATCTTAGCGATTGGGCTAAAGAAAAGCAGAATAATTCTTCCAAAATAAAAAATAATAGCAGATTTGTTCAACAACCATCCATGAAAATGATGCTGGGTGATATACTGAGATTGGTGTTCAGTAGAATAGGAGATGATCACAATGGTTGGTCCAACTCTCTCCCTCATCCCTCTCACTTCATTGGAGGGTTTTGATCCCTATGCATTGTGACTTTGTAAGGTTGATGGGAGTGCATACATTAACAATAAAGTCTGTAAAACACTTTATCTTTAGCACAAGTAGATCACAATTATCCCAGGCATTAGACGTGAAATTCAATAGTCATGAATGTCTCAAAATTAGGAAGAAATTTTTCCGACTGCGAGTTAGGTGGATGGTAAACAAAGTTCTAACCACTCAATCACATTAAACAACTAAAGATGATTCTGACATTTTTGTATAGAAGGTTAATGGTTTCAAGTACTTGGGATGCAGGTAGCAAGTGTATCTACTTCCTCAGAAGGACGGCAACATGGGATCTAGCCCTAGCCCAACCCTTGTTTCTAATGGGCTGGCCATGTCAGGAAGGGCCAAAAACAATGAAGAAGAAAAAAAAAAGGTTTTCATGCCTTCTTTTATTTTTTGTTAACACTAAAGCTACTTCTTCATGCCTTTCTTAAAAGGGAAAGGTTTTCTATACTTCCCCTTCAGCATATAAGATATATGCTTCCTCCCCATCCAACCATCCAATTTGATCTAGATTTGATATGATCTAACGTTTGATTTAGATATGATACCTCAAAGTATTTTATTTTTAGTTTTCCTTCTATGAATTGTGTGAACATGAAATTTGGTATGTACCATCTTCTCAATGGATCGCACCTAAAAAATAATAATAAAAATAACTTTTTGGTAAAATATAATGACCAAAATATCATTTGAAGTCTTCAGGGATATTTTAGTCATTTTATTTTTTGATAATATTTTCTATATATTTTTTATAAGTGCGAGTTTAAGAGAGGAGTGGACACCCAAATTGTGGTGCCAAAATAATTTGTATAAAAAATATTAAAAATAAACTAGTGTAGAGATGTGATATTGTGATTGGGGCCATCTCAGCCATCCATTCAGAATGGACGGTTGGATAAGGGAAAGCATATAAATTTTATGCTATAGGGGAAGCATAGAAAGCTTGCCCTTCTTTAAATATTCTGTAGAGCTTGCCCGCCAATATTTAATAATATTTAGTTACTCCATAAATAGTTTTTGGAAAGGATGCACTTTATGTTGACAAAAAAGTATGTGATTCTTCTTGTCTACTTCTTTTATGTTGAGAGTATTAGCTTAATGGATTTCAAATAAAGAAATAAACCTAGTTTCTTCCCACCACAAATAATTTCTGAGGAGACCACAGAGATTAAATTTTTTCTTTTTTTTGGTTTATTTTTTATGTAACCATCCAATTTTTCAGGTATGCACAAAGATGGGCTTGAGATATACTTTTAAAGAGGTAAAGCCCTTTTACAAGCCTAACTTAGGGGAAAATAGAAATGAAACAGGTTAATATCAAACTTCAGATTCCCCATTTGATATTATTAGACCCTACCAACTACCATTAGGTCAAAAACCCTACCTGATACGATGCGTAAAAAGAAACGACCGAGGATGGATGCTTATTTTGCCATTAGAATCAAATCAACGAATAACTTTCGCAACATAACCGCAACTTATTCAATGAATTAACTAAGGGTGCGGTTTCTATGAGGTTGCAACCTTAAACAATCCAATTAATGTTGGCCTCCAAATTTTATCGAAACGTGTAATTTCAGTGTAAAAGATTTCGAGGATTATCTAGAAATCTATTTTCATATCTAATTATAAAAAAATTTAAACTCCAAAAATGGTTAAAATCAAGTAGATCTATAACCGTAAGAAAATCATAAAAATGAATGGTATGGATAATGTGTTGCAAGAAGCACTATTTTTGGGACTCAAAATCTTTTATTTTTTAGTTTTTATATATATATACATCTTGATGTCGAGATGATTCATTAGAGGGTTTTTCAACATTAAAAGAATATTATCTAATGGATTTTTGAGGTACATGTTTAATTCTACATTTTAAGGTTGCAATCTTATATAAACTTTTTCCATTAACGAATGCCCAACCATTTCAGCAACATAAAATCCATTTTGTTTATATAAGGTGCCATCCTTATATTGTAGAAGTAAGGTATACCTAAAAAATCCATTAAAAAAGGTTGTCTTGATACTGGAAAACCCTTAAAATGGATCATCCTGACCTTAAGATTCATGAATATGAAAAAAAAAAAAAGGATTCCAAGTCCAAAAAATTGTTCAACTTCTATTGCATTATCTAGACCGTCTATGTTCAAAATTTTCAAGTTGTTATGGATCTACATGATTGTCACCTTTATTGGAACTTTGAATTTCATAATCAGGGGCAGTAATAAATTTTCATGCCATTGCAAGCTTTTCTGGCACTAAAACCGCATCGTTCATTACAATTTCGAGGGGCGCCTTATTTCAATAGTAAAAGATTGACGCCTTATCCAAACCTCCCCCAATCATAAACGAAAACCAAAACATTTCTAATACTCATGAGAGAAAAAGGAGGATTAAGGACGAAGTCACACCCTGTAGATGGTCGTTTCATGAATGAAAGTTTCATCAAGTGTTTTTGGACTTCAAAACTGCATAATTCGCACTTAAACTAAATTAAAACAATAACTTTGACATATGGTTCTCGAATAGTCTGCGATGTTGACAAGACAAGGCAAAGAATTATGTGAGGAAAAAGGGTGTCAATGTCTTTCTCTTAACGCTTGGGACGAGAGATTCTAAAAATTGACCTATGAACTCGCCACAACTTCATCTTCGTCTTCATAAAATAAGAAAAAATTATAGATATTTTCCATGACCAGACTTTCTAAACATGTTAGACCACTATGTTTTTTCATTAAACCCAAAAAGTAAATAAAAAAAGTAAATTTTTTAAGATGGAAATACTGCTAGATAGTTTTTCTCTAAAAAATTGAAATTTGAAAATTTAGAAACAAAAGCTATCTCTAAATTTTTTGACAAAGAAACTATCTAAAGTTTCAAATTTTAGAGTGATTCTTTTTTTCAAATTTATTAGAGAGAAAAAATATCTGAACTTTTAGGTTAATCAAACTTCAAGTTTCTAGATATAGGAACTGTTAAAAAAACTGAGAGTTTTAGGAGAGAGTGAAGGAATGGGAATAAAAGTGGGTTTCTGCACAGTGGGCGTTTCATTCTAAAAAAGTTAGCTTATGTGGGGTTAAATGTAAAAAAGAAAAAAATTATATAAGGTTGCAACCTGTACAATTACACATACGCTTCAAAAATTAATTGAAAAAATTGTTTTAATACTGAAAAATCCTCTAATTGATCATCTTGACATCGAGATGTATGAATATCAAAAAAATAATAGATTTTGAGTCCCAAAAATAGTGCATCTTGAAATATATTATCTACACGATCCATTTTCAAGATTTTTATAAGTTTGTAGAGCTACTTAACTTTAACCATTTTAGAGTTGGAAATTTTATAATAAGATATGAAAATAGACTTTCAGATAATCCTAAAAAAAATTTACACCAAAGTTATGTGTTATGATAAAATTTAGAGATGCGCCCTAAAGGTTGCAACCTTATAGAAACCACACCCATGTAAAAATAACAAGAGACGTTCATATGTGGGTAACTTGCGTGACTCGCCATTCAACTTTGTTAGACTGTAGTGATTGAAAGTTATAAATAAATATAAAAGTTCTTACGCGGGCTTGCCCTTATATGAACTTGCCATAGTCACCGT